AAAAGAAGGCAAGGCCAATCGGGGAAAACACATTTGCATAAACGTCATTTTCTGGAATGGATTGGAATGGATTGGAATGGATTGGAATGGATTGGAATGGATTGGAATGGATTGGAATGGATTGGAATGGATTGGAATGGATTGGAATGGATTGGAATGGATTGGAATGGATTGGAATGGATTGGAATGGATTGGAATGGATTGGAATGGATTGGAATGGATTGGAATGGATTGGAATGGATTGGAATGGATTGGAATGGATTGGAATGGATTGGAATGGATTGGAATGGATTGGAATGGATTGGAATGGATTGGAATGGATTTGCTGTTGCTTTGCTTTAACATCATTTGAGATAGATTGTGCTTTTAACGTCACTTTTAAACAGAGAAACATTTTCGTCTTCTAATAATAAGCTTTAGAATCTTAAAAAGTTTGATTCGATTCGATTCGATCTTTTTCAAGATCTCTTAACACATTCGCGACGATACCGGTGAACCCTACGTGGATTTTGCGCTTTTTTGAGGCCAATTTGGCTAAAAATTTGCACCAGAGGGTTTTCGGGGTCAAGGAATTCGAAGCCGTCATTAGTTTTTAAAGAAAGCTGCTCTATTTCTGAAAATTTCATCGGTTTAATTACCCAAGTGCAGCCCTACATCTAGAACCGTTTGCCAGAATAAAAACGTCAAAATTTTAATGTTTACATAATCGTATGGCTTCTGGCACACGGCCTCTAGCGATATAAGACAGAATCTAAACAGTTTCGCTCCTTTTTCTCCAATTTGTTTTAATTACCCAAGTTTCGTGATGCTTGGAAGTAAAGTTGCTCAAAAACTAATAACGGATTCAAATTCGTTACCCCAGAACTCCAGAAGTTACAAATTTTCAGGTCTACAGCTAATAGCTTTTGTCTGAAATGGTGGCCAAGATAAAAATGGTTTTGTCATGAAGGTGTTTAAGAAAAATGATTGTTACTAAAACCGTTTTACATGGTGAAAGCTTCGATTATACTTTACTTAAGTCTAAACCTAGCCTAAACCTATTCACCAAACTCTAAACCAAATCTATTATACTTTACTTAATTCTAAACCTAATTCCATAGCTTGAGTGAAGTTAATTTGTAGCTCGCGATGTTTCTAGACCCAAAATTTCAAAGCCAAAGCCAAGATTGGATGTGGCTTTTCGTGGAATATTACAAATAATTAAAAGCCATTGCAAATTGCAGCAGCAATTTATTTCAAAGTAACAAATGTACTAACATTAGATTCAAAAAAAGGTTCTGCAAAACAAAATACTCAAGTAGATAATAAGATAAAGATTTCCAATCAAATATAAAACATTTGAGATTGAGGAGTCTGAGAAAAGTGTGAGGAGGAGCTGAAGAGAACGATTAGATGGGAAGGCGATCAAAAAAGAGTATTAAAAAGTGGATAAAGAGAAAAGCAGAAAAGAAAAGCGGACAAGAAAAGATTTGGATTTAAAAAAAGGGGGAAGGATGGGTCTTTTTGATAACAAATGGTCGACCCGCGAAATGACCCTGATGAGGAAGGGAAAGGGGAGAGGGACAGGGCAACAGATTCCCCTCGATATTTCGATCATTTCTTTTCCTTTCGAGAGACCCATCAAAATGACCAGACGCTTATTTTAGAGAAAGAGATCAAACCATGCTCAATCAGTTGATTTTGGGAATAACTTTTATCTAACTAATTGCTTAATTTCTATGACTTTTATTTTCTAAAGGGGTATTATAGCAGAAAAATTGCTGTAAATGGTTACCTACCGTAAATACTGTAATAGTACCCCACCCCCCACGTACAGTCGCGTAGTCGCAAAAATTTTTTAGTATTTCATTTTTTTCAAAGCGCCCGTACTTTCAAAAAATGTGTCTTTGGTATCAAAAAATAGCTGAAATTCAGGGCTATTTTTTGATACCTAAGCGAGCATTGTAGCATAAACCAGTGTCGAGAAAAACGCATTTTTTCGGGATGGTTGCGTAGTCTAACTTTAAACATCCCGTTCTCCGCGCTGCTTTATGCTACAATGCGCGCTTTGGTATCAAAAAATAGCCCTCAATTTTAGCTATTTTTTGATACCTAAGCGCGCATTGTAGCATAAACCGGTGTTGAGAAAAACTCGTTCAAAGCTAGACTACGCAACACTCCGCACCGTCATTATGGGGGTGGGGTACTATTACAGTATTTACGGTATGTAAATAACAAAGTAAAGCTCTAATCTAGCTACAAATCTTTTCACTTCGTAATTTAAATCCAATCTTTGCACCCAGAATAGTTTGAGCCTAATAGACCTAATCTACGGCTAATGCTTGAATCTTTGATTCAACAATGGTACGGTTCTTGGCGTTTTTTTCAGATCTTTGATAAACCTATAAAGTAAGATCTAAGGCTAATAAAAGTCGATTTATTCGAGACGAATAATGAATTACAACAGAATGGAGGAAATTTTTACCCCTAATTACCCCTATTACCCAATGTTGTTAAGAAAAAAAGATCCATAATAATGGGAAAAAGAAGCATTCTTTCTAGCCGCCGGGATCGAACCCTTAACCCCCCGACTAGGAGACAAGACTCCTATCCGGTCGACTACGACGGCTAATGTAAGGAAATTCTTTCAAAAATAACAATAGCTCTATATGCATATCTATATGAATAGGCGATTCGTGTTCATCTTTTCCTTTTTGCCCCGTTGAATCTCTTCTTCTCGGCATCCATCGGGAGCGCTGACTCATCCCGGCTATTTTACACTCAAAGGACAATCATTTGTGAGGATCGGGGAAAAAGGAAAAAAAAATCATCCCGCACATTAGCTTTTTCCCCCCTTTTCATTTCTTTTAGCTCTAGACAATTGATGGGGCTTTGATTGTTCTTTTCGAGGTAAATGATAAGACTCTTACTCACGATTTAGACATACGAATCTGATTCAAAGTAATTGTTAAAGTAAAACGAGAACTTGGATACTTTTAGCCTGTCTGGTTTATAAAGGAATGGACTGGTTATAAAGCATATTTGGGATGAAGACTTGATTGTTAGATCAAAGCTAAGGCCAAGTCAAGCTTAGGTTCAAATTTGGCAAAATCAAAATGGTTAAATTGAAAAAAAAACGTTCAATAATTGAGCTATTAACAAATTACAGCCAGTGCCCAGTTCAAAACTATTTCTTCAAAACTCTGCAAAAAGCGCTATGAGCCACCTGCAAGGCGGACGGATGGACAGGCCAAAAAAAACGTGTGCGCGAAAGAAAATTTCTCCCGAATCGGCAGCTGTGTGCGCTTTTTCAAAGTTCATTCAAAAAGTGCGAGTTTGGAAGAGAAATTGAAGATTTAATGGATTTTAGGGGAGTGGGACAAATGCGACCTTTTTTTTGCGCACCCGGACATTTGCGCACCTTGCCCATTAGCGCACCTTGTGCGCTAATGGGAGCTTGTGGAAGCGAACGGACCGAGTTACACAAAGAGAAAAAATCAACAATTTTCTGTAATTGGACCTAGCCGTTTTGTCTTTCAAATTGGTTCCACACGCTCTGTTATGTCAAAATTTCGATTCTACGCCCTAAAATTACCTAGAAAAACAACTTTTGGAATAGAAATTGGTTAATATTAGCTTTTTAGAGCTTTTTTAAAACGCGAAAAAAGGTGCGCTAATGGGCTAAGTGCGGAAAAAAAGGTGCGCAAATGTCCGGGTGCGCAAATGTCCGGGTGCGCAAAAAAAAGGTCGCATTTGTCCCACTCCCGTAGGCCGAACACTTTCTAAAATCCATGAAATCTTCAATTTCTGTAATTTCAACTTTAATAAGCAAATAAGGTAGAACTGATGTGCAGATGTAGGTGTTTTAGAATAAAATCTAAAAAAAATGGGCATAAAAAGATATCAAATACATAGAAGGGGAAAGGCCAAGACATGATATGAAAAGAGAGAAAAATATAGGGGAGAGAAGGGGGTGTAAATATTGAATAGTGGATATGATGACCTTTCCTCTTTCCTCCTTTTTCTTTTCTTTTTCACAATCTTTCGATGAATGATAAGATCTGTAAATGGTGATGGGGAACAGATTTGAGAAAAAAGAGGGAAAAGGTGGGGGAATTGGTGGAGAACGGGGATAGACATAACCACAAATATCCAAATTTCGCCGTTCTTCGCCGAGAATTTGTGTTGTTCATAAATCTCACCGACTGTTAATGTTTTGGCAACATTTCTACAGTGTCAAAATTTCTAATTGACTGTAAACCTATTGAAAAAAACGTTTTCTAAAAGGTGCTCTTGTGACTATCGTAGTCGACGTGTTACGGAGAATACGGCAGCTTTTTCCCAACCACACATTTTAAAAAGCAAAAATCCGGCTACCAGCAAAAACAGATTAAAAAACAATTGTTAAAATTGAAAAATGAAAACTTTTGTATTTATCGAAGAAAAACGATAAGAGCCAGGGCACAAAAAACCGACACAGGGAGGTCTTTTTGTGGATTTGTCGAAAAAAATCGAGGAAAGGGGTGCGCGCAAACATATGGCCGTTAGAAAGGGAAAGATTTGAGAAAAGAAAAAAAAAGAGGGGGAAGCTTTTGGTCGGAAAAAATACAATTCAAGCCACATTTGAACGAACCAAAGACCCCCGATGCACCACATTTCCTATGGGACACCTTGAAAAGCCAGATGTGGGAAAGATTTGAGGGAAAAAAAGATTGGAGTCGATTACAAAGAGAGGTCCTAGTTATTGATCCAATTGGGAAAATTGGTCAATCTAAACGGATCAGTTTTAGAACTGATTACTTTTAACCATTATTAGCTTTGGAATCGTACTTAAATTTGGATACTTTACCAATTCAAACTTCAAAACGCCTGCGTTTTTGCTCAATATGCCTGCGTGTATCTAATAGTTTGATTTTGACAATTTATTCTTTCAAAAACAAACTAACAATCAACAAAACAAACTTAACAATATAAAAGCCACCAATCACATAAAATACCCGTAAAATCAAACAAAAAAATTACTTCTTTACCTGCAAGGCAACTTCTCGAAAAGATTTCTCCTCAAATTGAAGCATTCGTGTCGACGCTCGTTCATCTTCAAACGGTTCTCGATCTTTCTCGTAGGTGAGCAGACGTCGACTTGTTCTAAAAAAAATCGTTTTATTGGTTACAAGAATGTTCAAATAAAATTATAAAGTTGCATATTGCATGCAATTTAATCATTTCTAATATTTAACCCATTATTTGGTTTAAAATAACTCTTACCTTATTGTCAGCCGTTGCTCACAATTTGTCATCAGTCGAAGACATGGATGAATCGGTAAAATGTTGTCAGAGTATTTCTCCAGTAACTAAAAAAATAATGATGTAGGCCTTTATTTTAAAAGCTAACCACAGGAAACCAGAAAGAAATCCTTCCACCAACAACAAGCGATTTGGCCGCGAGATCGAGAAGATCCTAAAATATAATTAAAATGAGAGAATAGATTCAGAGTCATAAGTTTCCTCTATTTTTTAATATCAAACCAACCGAAAAAACCGAATCGAGATTGTATGTTTGCTTCTCTGGATAGTGTTTTGGATGTTCTTCGGGGGCTGTCTTCGGCAAAGTCCAGTGCTCCTTACGTTCCTTTGGTCCAATTTTACGACTTTTCTCGCGAACACCTAAACAAAACCGTAAATTTATTTCAAAGCACCAAAATTACTAACCGTACGGTGGATCGGCGACAATTGCATCAAAAATCGGCCTTGCTGCCCATAAATCGTGTAGTGAGGCGTCAGCCAAGATCAACGAGAGGAATTTATCCTATAATTTTTGATATTATTACGTAACATTAAACATTTTTACCCGTGTTCCATATTGTACAAAGTTTCCCTCCACCGACTCATTTGTCAACAACTTCTTGTCGTGTCTTGACGATTTCCCCTGCGCAAAACCGATCTAAATTCAAACTAAAAAAGGAGTGTGAAAGGAATGGAATCACCATTAGATAAGTAAAATAGGTACTTACTATTAGAAATTATATGTTTTTGAAGAGGTTAACCAACCGAATAGTTGATTTCTGTTCCAATAACTGAAGCTCCAAAATCGGCAGCCGGGACGAGAAGACCCCTGAAATTCATTAATTAGTAAGCGACAAATAAGAAATCATGTAAACGTAATAAAAAAGTCTATCAAAAAGTATTTACTGGCACACGAAAGAAATGAGAAAAAAAGTCAAGCAAAATGTTGTGCATAGAACTTGATGTCCCGTTGCCCTTCAAATATAATAATATAATATAATTTACCCCGTTCCGCAAAATGGATCCAAAACAAGTGAAGTGGCGCGAATTGATGTGATGTTTGCCTAAAAATGAAAATTTATCAAACTGAACAACGCACTTTGCAACCTGAATCAAGGCCAATTCAGGGTCCATTGTCGTGTTACCGATGTAACATCTATCTGGCAGATTGAGTCGATTCTTTCTCCACCCCTAAAACAACAATAAACTTAATCGTAAAATGATTCGAACCTGCCCTTCACCAATTTCTCGCACAAAATGCAACCGCGTTGGGAGTGAACCTTTTTCCGATGCGTACTCTTCCAAGACGACGAATTTATTCATCGGTTCTTTCAAATCAATCGGTGCCAAGTGGAAGGGCAACCATTCAGCCACGATTCTTGCTTGTCTAAACGTTTATTATAAGCGAGATTAGGTAAATTTGATACTAACAAGCTCCTCTTGTGGAAATTTAGCTAAAAATTTGACCTGAAAGGGCCTAGAACTCTATTCATTAACCATTCCAAGAAACCACCTACTTCACTGATTCGACCCCTTTCTTCTTGCCGAAAGGTCTCACACGAGTTGCCCAAGTTTGATCGTTGACGTCATATTTTGCTAACTCTTTTCCATTCGTTATTATCCTTTCATGTAGACTTTCATAAGAAGTTGCATCGAAAAAATATTCGTAGCCCGCCTTGAGAAGAATTGATCGAGAAAGAATCTTTTTGACAATATTCACATCGGGAACCTAAAATAAATAATCTTAAGTGAAAGATTTAAATGAATCAAGCGTCGCTTTAGCTTCAATTATGTAAAAACTATAAAAACAACTGTTATACTGTTATAAATAATCTTAAGTGAAATATTTAGATGAATCAAGCGTCGCTTTAGCTTCAATCATATAAAAACTCTTAACCAATTATAAAAACATTGTCGTTTCTGTTACGGTTTTAAGCTACCTATTTTCAGTATAAATTGTATCTTTTTTTATAACTAACAACCAAAAGTTTCGAACCTCAACTTCTTGTAAAGGTGAATCGATTCCGATTTTGTTGAAAAGGGCAAAATCGATGCCAAACGCGCGGCAAATTCCCTCAATTTCGGCCAAACGAAAGTCGCGATGTGATTGCGAGAAGAACAGGGCACACCTCATCACACATTCAGATTGCCGGATCTAAAAATTAATGTTAGAAATAATAAGATAAAAAGTATGAAGTATTACAAAACAAAAGTTCAAATGAAAAATCAAACGGAAAAATCAAAAACAAATTTGCTTTATATATTCGCAAAAGACAAAAAGAGCGCGTTTTAGAATTTAGTTTGAACAAAATTTTAAATGCATATTTCCTTAAAATGTTCAGCTAAAAGTTTAATCTTTTATTTTCTTTTTAAAGTTTAAATTCATTGAAAGATATTCTTTATGTAAAATCAAAAAATCCCTTTTTAAAAGCATTCCATAGGGTGAGCGTTTTTAGTTCATTTGCGGTTGTGCCGGGTTTTGAGTGCTTTTGGAAAGGGTTTCCTCTAGCTTTTATTCAAAATCTTGAAATAAATGTAATTAGATACATAAAAACGTTCTAATACAATAATACACAAGTACAATAGTACATAAAATGAGTACAATAGTACATAAAATTAGTACAATACTACATAAAATGAGTACAATAGTACATAAAATACTATACAATAGTACATAAAATGAGTATCATTTGATTCACCCAGAGTTCGAGATTTTGTGTAGAGACAATAAAAAAGGATAAAGGAGGATTAATCATAAAAAGACAAACAAAGAAAGCTTAGATTTTTATAAAATGCTTACAAATTGCTTACAAAGTAGAATAAATTGACTTTTTAATTTAAAAGTTTAAAAATATTATCTTAGATTAAGCTCGAAACGCAGTTCCCCAATGATCGTGAAGTCCGAAATCGGTTTTCTTTGCGTGGAAGCGATATGTCAAGACGAAATTGACAAAATCTGAAAAAATTTGGGGTTTTTTTTTCATGTTTTGAATAATAGAACTATTTTTTTCAAGAAAAATATGCCAATTTTCTGCTAAAGATACTCGGTAAAGAGCTTAAACTAAAATCCTCGGTCACTGCGAACATTTGCATTCGTTTTCCCTGACTCTTCTTTACTATCAGGCAAAAATTAACATTATCTTATTCAAAATTAGCCTTACTTTTAGTGTCTAATCACTTACTTTTACTGTTCAATCACTGACTTTCACTCAGTGATTAGACATCACTCAAACTTTAACTTTTAGTGCCACCAAATCTGGAAACGAGCGAGGATTGTTTGTTTTTAAACGTCTTCGGCCCGACGGTTAGTGATTTTTTTTCTTTTCGTTCAAAGATTTTCGATTTTCAAAGCCTTTTCCGTAATCATTTTTCATTTTTCGTAAAGTTTGGTCCGAAAAAGACTCCACAGAGTCCACAGAGTGTTCATTATTTCTCGAAATTCATCGATCACTCAGTTTAAAGCTCGTTTTGTACAAATCTAACGCCAAAAACGAAGCGAACCTATCAAAAACTAGCAAAACCTATCAAAAACCTATCAAAAACAAATATTTTTACAAGTTTAAGTCACTTTTCTTCTAAAGAATTTTGCTAAATTTTCTAAATTTTCTGCTAAAGATACTCGGTAAAGAGCTTAAACTAAAATTCTCGGACACTGCGAACATTTGCATTCGTTTTCTCTGACTCTTCTTTACTATCAGGCAAAAATTAACATTATCTTATCTAACATTAGCACAGAAATATTATCTAATATTGTTTTGTTTGAATTAAAATTCTTTTCTTTCATTTCTTTCAATTGTTTAGATCATTTAACTAACAACTAACCCTCAGCAGTGGCATCAACAGGATTCCCTGAATATCTCATTCGAATTCCATCTCTTGATCGAACGTACACTCCTGGGAGTTTCTCCAAACGTTGATCAATCTGGAAAAAAGAATTTAGCGCTTTTTAAAATTAAAAACAAAAACTTTAAAGACTTTTAAACGACTTACATTAATAAAACCGATCCCGATATCCTCCCAATCAAGAGAGGCTGTCTGAAATGCAATTTTGAGTACAATATCCAAATAAAAGGTACTGTACCTATGGCAATAATTCCAATATCTTACCTTTATCCCATAATCATCCAACAATTTCTGTGCGGCTTTCTGAATCTCGGGCAGTACCCAATTCGATCGTTGACACTCGTTCCAATAGTAGAAAATCAAATACGTTTCCCCGTCTTTCATCTAAATCCATAAAATTTTTGATATTCATTTAAGAATGAAGTTTTAGTTTTTTGCAATCAATAGTACCTCATCGAGGCTGAAAAATCGTTGCACAGGCCATTGTGTTCGTCGACAGGAAATAGTTCCCAAGAAAATCTGAAATTTAACCATCAGTGACTGTCGATGCTATAGTCATTGTAACTGAATATCCTTTGAATAACAAAAATCCTACTATCTTTATCGTTAGCATTTTTAAATTCAAATTTCTAATCGTTGCAAAGGCCATTGTGCAACCTAAACTGACCACAAATAAAAGAAAAGCCTTGAAAATCATTGCCGCTAGAGCAAATCGTGAAAAATAAGAAAAATATGAAAATTTTGTTTTTTTCTTATCACCAATGCTTATATACTTTCAGGTAAAACAAAAAAATTGCAAAATTTCAAATAATTTTTTAGCCTTTTCTGACAAATCACTTGGCGGGGGTGTTCCGATTGGCTTTCTGGAAAGAAAAAGTTGGAAAAAGTTTTCGAAAACGAGTTTTGTGGCCGATGAAACGCGAAGAAATACACCGGAAATCGTCAAAAATCGGCTTGGAAAAGTTTTTGCTTTTTTGCATTTTGCGGTAAAGATTTATCGTTTCCAGACCACATTATATGGCATCAAAAATCGGTTTGAAAAGAAAGCTATATCTTTACTAAGGGTCAGAGCAAATGTTAACTATTATGAGAGCTCCATTTTCTGAGCTCAGTGAAAGAGGATTGGTAGACTTAATAAAATGATTAGCTTCAATCGATTCGTGACCCCGAAAATCATCGGATACAAGTTTACAGCTGAATAACTTTTTGTATCTACAAGGCAAAAAAGAAATCTCTATGGAAATAACTGGCGTGGTGTTCTTTGTGCGGCCGCGTAATCGCTCCCCATATGGCAAACGCTCTCGACAGATAGGTGTGCCCTTTTCGAATTTCTAAATGTCTGCGAGAAAAGATCTGCCAGAAGGTCTACGCGCGTACAATCGCTCTCCATTTGGCGCACACTCCCCACAGATAGATTTGCCGTTTGGAATCCGCAAGGGGGAAGGAGCGGTCAGTGATTGAGCGATCGCCCGAAGAACGAAGTCCAAACCCTCCGGACCAATCCCCGCGTTAAATCTGGCCACATCCTCGACACCAGAAAGCTCCGCCAAAACACTGTGTCACTCACAAACAGCAGCCAAATCGGTAGAATAATGCGATCCCGTCTCCCGATTCCCCCATAGTCAGAAACGGCCAGTCCAATCAACGTTCATTCAGTATCATTTGAGAACCTAAAATGATTTCTTTTAAATCTAAGCACAATCCTCTAGTTTTCAATTCGTTCACCAATCAGGATCTAGAACTTTTCAAAACAAATTTCATTCTGATTTACCAATCTCCGATATTTAATTACCGGCTCCGAAAAGTGCTTTTCCTGGTTCAAAACGAGTTCAATAAGCAGTTACTTTTACACTTACAGTTACTTTTACATTTACAGTCACCCGTAAAATCTTTGTTAGAATCTTGTTTTGAAAACTAATCAACACGGACATCTATTTTACTCATTTCCCATTCAGCTACCTACTTGTTTTATTTGCTTGATACTCAAAATTGGAAACACGCATCTGGCACACTATTTCCTTCATTTACTTTCTTACAGAAGCGGTTTCGTTTTACATGATAAACCCAAAAATCAATGCCTCAGAAAAGGTGCGTTTGTCTCATTTCAAAGCACAAACTACGTGCAAAGCTCGCTAGCACATTTCAGTGCCCCAGAAAGCTTTCGTTTACAAATTTCTCCAATCTTTACTCTTCTCAAAAGTTTACACTTGTAACAAGGAAAACAAAAAAATTGAACCTGGAGATTCATAGAGATTTTTTTAGCCCAAAAAAATTTGATTCCGGGTTAAACGAGGAAACTTTAATTTTCGATTTCAATTCCCATGTCGAAATTAAGCGGAAATTAAGCGCATAGTCGAAAAATTGAAAACAGACAAAAGAAAATCGACTAATTGAGCGGAAACAAATTCGGGAGTCTCATTTGAAAGTCTGCTTTTGTGCTGCATTGAGCTTGTGAACTTTTTACTTGAAAAGATTTAGCTAAAACATTTGCTAGTACATGTTTTGCCATTATTTCTTTTTTTTTTTTGATAAGTTGCTCATGAGTAGAATGTGTCTCATTTAAACAGGGTTCTTTCAGAAGTCATTTTTCGGGATCAGTTCAAGTCAGAAGTCAAGTTCAGACCTGGCTTTTCAGAAAATTCGATAAAAATGTTTATTCTCTAAATTTTTTTTCAAAATATTGCCTATTTTGACCTAATTTCAGGCATGCTAGGCAGAAAATTGAGTTGAGTCGCTAAATTTTGTTGAGAAAACATTTGGAGTAGACAAATTGAGGATCAAAAAAAGATTGCTCTTTAAAGTTGAAAGCTTTTGAAAGCTTACAAATAGCATTTTCTCGTTGGTCTTGTGAATTTTCAGATGAAAATTTATGTTTTTTTTTAAACAAGTGTTTCCCTTTTCAGATGCACTGGTTGACCATTTTGCTGATCGTTTTGCCGATTCTCGGCCTTCTTCTCAATTTCTTCCTTCTTTATGTGATTTTGACCGAGAAACGATTGCAAAGCAATTATTCGAGATTCCTGATACTAATCGCTATTTACAACATCTTCTATGCGCTTTGCAATCTCGCTTTTGATCCGGTAAGGGTTGGGTTGCAGTTTACTGGAATATGTCGGCTTAGGCTTATGCTCAGGCCTAGGCTCAGGCTTAGGCTTAGGCTTAGGCTTTAGGCTTAGACTCAGGCTTAGACTCAGGCTTAGGCTCAGGCTTAGGCTCAGGCTTAGGCTTAGGCTTAGGCTTAGGCTCAGGCTTAGGCTTAGGTTATTCCAAAGATTTCTTTGGAAAGCCAGA